CTCCTGGTGTTTGGTTTTAAACGTAGCCATTGAAGAAGCAATACTGGCCAAGTTACCGTTTTTCTAGTCAACTGTATAATCTAAGAGAAAATGTTCTTTTATTTCCCTGAGTAGTTAAATTATATTTGTGAGCTATTAAGGGCAAGCTAGTTTGTGGTACCGTCAGTCACTACTGATTTTTATGACCCGGAGGGCTAGATTAGGAATCTAGTCACAGCCCAGAAAGCCTGTGGCTCCTTCACTCTGCTGCTTCATTCACAAACAACTCTAGAAGGTATAGTATCAGTTGTCAGTTTCTACTGTTGCAGTGGTTGAAAGGAGAAGCAAAATCTCCATTCTGTTTTTACTTTTAAAAAACCACACAAATGATTTGTGTTTGGTGTACACTGAACAGCAAAAGGAGCTCTAAGTGTTTTAGCCCCTTAAACATTGTTCATCGTGCTGAAAATCATTACTACAGAAAAAATAATGAAAAGTAGTAAGTTTTTCCCCTACCTTTTTTTTTTTTTTCTTGTTTTGTTTTGTCTTTTTGAAGCAGGGTCTCCCTGTAGCCCCAGCTGTCCTGGAACTCACTATGTAGACCAGGCTGGCCTTGACAGAGATCCACCTGCCTCTGCCTCCCGAGTGTTGGGATTAAAGGTGTGCGCCACCATGCCCGGCTTAAGTTTTTCCCCCTAACTCTGTCAGATTTAAACTGAGGCAGTCACTTTTGACTTCCTATCAGGTGTTTCTTGGAGTTCAAAGTTTGTATGAATTGCAAGGCAGTTTGTCTTCCCATCTTTTTGCCATTTTGGAAAGTTTCACTGAAAACCATGGAGAAGCCAGGTTAGTGGCACAAGCCTGTAATCTCAGGACGACAGCAATCTTTAGGGCAACCTGGCTGTCTCAGAGAACCAGAAGAAACAAGCAAAGAAAGCAAAGAGGTGGGAAAGCTGGCTCTGACACTGGCTGTTCTTGTAGAGGCTTAAGGTTCTGTTCCCAGTACCCACATGGTGACTAACAGCAGATTTATATCAAAATCTGTATTTCAGCTGGGTGTGGTGGCGCACACCTTTAAGCCCAGCACTTGGGAGGCAGAGGCAGGGGGATCTCTGTGAATTTGAGGCCAGCCTGGTCTACATAGTGAGTTCATGCCAGTTGGGACTACAGGGAGACCCTGTTTCAAAAAGACCCCCCCCCTCTCATATATATGCATATATATGTATTTCCTCCAGGCAAGAGGACCAGAAGTTCAAGATCACCCTTTGGCTACAGAACCAATTTTGAGGACAACCTGGGTTCATTGAGAGGTCAAGAAATAACCAAATGGGCTGGAGAGATGGCTCAGTGGTTAAGAACACTTGATGTTTTGAAGAACCAGGTTGATTCCCAGCACCCACATGGCAGCTAAAAACAGTCAACACCCTATTCTGGCCTCTGCAGGTCATTACATGCATGCATTGCACTTATATTCATGCAGGTAAAACACACATATAAATAGAAATAATATTTTTAAAAAACAACTAAACAACTTAAATGGGAGTATATAGGGAATAAAGGTTAGAGAGTGGTGTGAGACAGAGCTGAACCCTCTCCTATCACAGTGTTTTCCCTGAGTTGTTTTTGCTTTTTTTAAAAAAAGAAATGTGTATGAGTGTTTTACCTCTGTGTATGCAAATGCACCCATGTCTTGCAATGCCTGCAGAAATCAGAAAAGAGTGTTGGATCCCATGGAATTGGTGCTAAGGACAGTTGTTAGCTACCATGTAGGTCCTGAGAATGAAACCTTGGTCCTCTGCAAGAGCAGCCAGTACTCTTAACTGCTAGTCATTTCTCTAGCTTCCAACACGAATCTTTTAGAAGGCTATTGTTGGGCTAGAGAAATGCATAGTGTCCTTGCAGAAGACTCAAGTTCTATTCCCAGCAGCTATGTCAGGTGTCTCATAAGTGCCTATAACTCAAGCTTTTTTGGGTCCAGTGACTTTTGGCCTCTGCAGACACCTGTATTCACATGTACATACATACAGAGATACATGCATATATATTTGTATTGCCTGCATATAAGTGTGAGTGTACCTGTGTCAGGTGATGCCTGTGGAGGTCAGAAGAGGGCGTAAATCTTTAAAAAAAAAAAAAACAACAACAACAAAACTAAAGGTGGCACACACCTTTAGTCCCAGCAGCACTTGGGAGGCAGAGGCAGGCGGATCTCTGAGTTCAAGGCCAGCCTGGTCTACATAGTGAGTTCCGGGTCAGCTAGGGATACAGGGAGAACCTGTCTCAAAAAGACAAAACAAAAAAACCTGCTGTTACACTTTGTGATTGCTTTGTATCCTTTTTTCTTTGGATACAGATCTGAAGAGATTTACTGCATGTGGAGTGTAACTACTTCGGACTGTGCTGTGTTTATTGCAACAATGCTGGGGAGAGTGACTCTTCCACAACTGCTTTTTGCTTCCGTCCTTGGAATTGCTGGAGGAATGTATATTTACCAGCCAATATTTGAACAATATTCTAGAAATCAGAAGGAATTAAAAGAAAAGATGAAGTTGGCACAAGAATCAGAAGAAAAGAGAAATTAATATTGTATAAAGCGATAATGTAGTAATTGCTTAAAGTCCATTAAAGTTATATATTTACTACCATTAACGATCTAGTAAAAGCTGAGTAGTCATGGGTAATATATTTAAATGGTTTTTAAAATTAGCTCTTTATTTTGAGGCAAGGTCTCTCTATGCAGCCCTGGCTGATCAGGTACTTGCTGTATAATCCAGGCTCACCTCAAACTCTAGTTTTTGTTTCTTTGGTTTTTGGTTTGGTTTGGCTTTTGATTTTTTGAGACAGGGTCTCTGCTGGAACTATGTAGACCAGGCTCAACTTAATCTCACAGAGATCCACCTTTCTGTGCCTCTCAAGTGCACCTGGCTGGAGGACTGTTTGAGGCCATTTGGGGCAACTAGGCAGACCTTGTCTCAGAAAACAAAGTCTGGTATGGTGGCATGCACCTTTAATCCTGGCACTCAGGAAGCAGAGGCTGGAGGAGCTGTGAATTTGAGGCCAGCCTCATCTACATAGTGAACTCCAGGCCAGCCAAGGTTACATAGTGAGACCCTATCTCAAAACAAGCAAAACCCAAATGCCAGCATGCCTATAATTCCAGGGTCTGGAAGGCTGAGGCAGAAGCACTGCTTAAGGGTTTTAAGTGATGGGCAAGGTGGTGCATACCTTTAATCCCAGCACTTGGGAGGTAGAGGCAGGTGAATCTCTGAGATTGAGGCCAACTTTGTCTCTGTAGTGAGTTCCAGGCTGGCTAGTTGAGGCTATAGAAGACCCTGTTTCAACCCCACCCCCCCATGTATGTATAACTAAGAAAATTTAAACATAAATTCATACCATAGCTGGTACATGACTTTTAATTTTTTTTTTTTAATTTATTTTGAGACAGAGTCTCCCTGCAGCTCCAGTTGCTATGTAGACCAGGCTGGTCTGGATTTCAGAGATCTGCCTGCCTCTGCCTCCTGAGTGGTGGGATTAAAGGAGTGCTCCATTCTGCCCAGCCAAATATGTTTCTAAGTCTTATTGTATAGTCCAGGCTGCCATGAATCCTCAGTCCTCCTGCCTCAGCCTCCTGGCTGCCAAGATATAGACATGCCACCACATCCAGCTTCTGTGTTTTGTTTTTGTGACTGAACAATATTCCCTTATATGGACATGCCCTCTTTACTGTACATTAAATCAGTTGATGTTTCAGCTTATTTTATACTTTTGAAGGGTAAAATTTGTATGTGCATTAAATCACAAAGCTATAATAAAACATGGGTTGGTGAGGTGGCTCGGTGGGTAAAAGCTCTTGCTGCACAAGCCTTGCAATCTGAATTTGATGCCCAGAACCCATGGTAGAAGAACACTGACTCTCAAAAGTCATCCTCTCACTGCCACACATAAGCCATTGCCTGCACATACACACATACACATCATACACAGTAAATAAAATGAAAAAAAAAACTATTAAAGATTGCAAACATTACAGGACTAGGAAGATGGCTCAGGGGTAAAATGTTTTCTGCATAAGCATAAGGGCCTGAGTTCAGATACAAATAAATTAGAGAATAAAAAAATCTACAATATTTTTATTTTATGTGTATGTGTGTATAACCTGAAGGTATGTAGGTGTACCCCTGTCATGCAATGTCTTGAGGAGGTTAGAAGATGATGTCGGATTCTCCTGGAACTGGAGTTACTGATGGTTGTTTGCCACTGTGTAGGTGCTGGAAACTGAACCCGGGTCCTCTGCTAGAGCAACCAGTGTTTTTAACCATTGAGACATCTTTCCAGCCCCTTAAAAATGTTTTTTATATTTACTTATTTGTGTGTGGATGCTTGTATGCCATGGTGCTTAGTCAGAGGACAACTCGCAAGAGTTGCTTCTTTCCTTCCATCATGTGGGATCTTAGTATAAAACTTGGGTTGTCAGGCTTGGCAGCAAGCACCTTTACGTGCTGAACCATCTTGCCAGCCCAAGAGTAAGTGCTTATAAGAGTAGGATTCTGGCACCTCAGTCTCTTCCTCTGCACACAGCCCATTTTGCAAGCATCCTTTTCTCTCAGGGTCTCTCTGTAGCCCCAGCTGGCCTGGAACTCACGTGTGTAGACCAGGCTGGTCTGGAACTCACTATGTAGACCAGGCTGGCCTCAAACTCATGGAGATTTGCCTGCCTCTGCTTCCCAAGTGCTAGGATTAATGGGCCTGCACCACCAGGCCTGCCCCAGCCTGCGGGGTCTGCAACGGGGTACCTGGATTGGGGAGTGGGGATGTGGATGAGGCATGGGGCAAGAGAAATGGAGACAAGACAGTGCTCTGATCAAGTCTCGTTTATTGAAGCACAAGCATATAGTTAAATAAGGAGTACAGACTGGACTCAATCATAACAGCCAGATAACAAAGGCCCAGGTGCACTCCAAGGGAGTAATCCACTAAGAGCAAAGCAGTTACTGGAAAAGAAAACAAGACCGCAGGCGGAGGCCGTGGGCTCCATCCCGTGCCTGTGAGAGTCTACTGATCAACAGAAAACAGGGCTATTTACAATAACTAAAGCAAGGCCGTGGGCTACCAGCCCCGGCTATGAGCCAAGGTTGTGGGCTCTTTCCCATGCCCGCGGGAAGAGGGTGGACAGAATGGAAAATCACCAACTCAGGTCTGTCAGCAGTTGTGAAGAAGTGGCTAAGACTCAGTTTCCCAATATACTGAGACGGCTCCCAACACATGCCCATTTGCCTTTTCTTACATCTGTCATGTGAGGCAGCCAGGGCCAAGTGGGCTCATGAGTCACCACCACCATGCTTTATGGTTTTTAGCCATAGCCATTATAAGACAAACCTTTTCTTTGTAAAGTTTCCAGCCTTGGGTATTATGATACAGTAAAATATGGACCAAGGCAGTCCTTCAGATCTTGGCTGATCAGTGACTTTCAGGATTGTTCTGTACCTTTCTTAACCTCACCAACAGTCTGATGACTCATTTCTTACCTGGAGAGCAATTGAAATGATCATATGATGATGAAATCTGTTATTCCCTAACCCCAAGGTCATTTGCTAGCCTACAAATACTGTATTAATGTGTAGGGTTTCCAGGTTGGTCCATTCTAATGGGTATCGTTCATTTCACGTGGTTCACCCTCGGCCTTGAGAAGCTGATTGCGCTCTGGTGCAAAGTGTTTGTAGCTGCGCCTGGAGGGATGCTGGGCTGGGCAGGTGGGTCTGGGTCAGCTGGACCTGTGCTGCTGCAGGTGGACACCAGATGACTGAAACTGCGCAGATGCAGGAGACTCAGGCGCTGAACTAAGGCTTCCCAGCATATTGCTCTGCTTGGAAGTGAACTTGTTAAAGCCTAAAGGCGCAGCTCCAAAGACCACTGTTGAAAACTCCCGGGCCTGCTAGGAGGTGTTTGGCCGGCCCTGAGCGGGAAGGTGGCCAGGGACGTACAGCCCCAAATCCTGCGCCGCGAGAGGAGCCGCTGGGGGGCAGCACGGGCTCGCTGGTTCTCCGCCGAGGCGGGTTTTCAATGTTAGCGCCCCATTTATTATCTTTTAACGACTAGCCCTAACCGCCCCTTCGAAATTCAAAGTGCCGTTGTAATCCAGTTAGGCTGTGAGTGTCGACTCGGCAGCCCGCTCCCCCAACGGTGTTTACTTTTCCTGCCAGTCTTGCGAGGTGTTCTCGCTGTCCCGTGCAGGAACCCAGGTCTTTCTGTCTCCAGCAGCTAGTGTCCAGGAGACCCCAGCCGGGAGCGGGGAGCCTGCACCACTCGGGGGACTCCGGAAATGGCCTTCAAGGAAGGCTCTTTGGGGTCACCAAGGCATGTCTCGCCGTGGTCGGGTCTGGGCATTTGACGTTTTCTGCACGTCACCCTACGGTTCTGCACCTCTAGAACCTGGCGCGGAGACCTCGGGGACCAGGAGGCGAGGGGCGTTTCTGCGGCTTGGGGGCCTGCGGGCAGGTGACAGAAGGAGGGGGTGGAGGAAACGCTCGGCCCGCCCCCGCCGCGCCCCTCCACGGGAAGTGATGTGGGGCCCGACGGAAAATACCGCCGAGCACCCAAAAAAGGCCAGCCGCCGTGGACTAGGCGCCCCGAGCTCCTGGGACAGAGCACCGCGGGGACTCAGCAGCCAGTACCGCGGGGACATAGCACCGCGAGGACTCAGCACCGTGAGGGAGGATACAGCGTCGGGGGGATATAGCTCCGTGAGGACTCAGCACTGGGAGGACATAGCACCGTGGGGACGCAGCACTGCAGGGACAGGAGAGGACAGGGCACCGGGCCAGCCAGGTGAGAGCGGGGTGGCTGCTCCTGGGCTCCCGGGTCTCGGGTACAGTAGGTAGCGGGTGACGCCAGCCGATGGCTTGGTCTCTCCGTGTCCGCTGGTGGACCCCAGAGATGACCCAGGGACGGCGAATCAACCGCGACAGGATGCTGGTCCTGAGTGGTCCCGTGGGCTGGGGTCCGAGGTCATCTCCGGGTGGCATCTAGGTGCCAGGGTTCTCAAAGGAGGGGAGGAGAGGAAGGCCCAGGGCAGGGCGGTCCACAACGCCCCCTCTTCCTTCCTCGCTCCTGTTGACTTGAGTACTTAACGACTTTAGAGTCCCGACTGCTAACCACCAGCCTTTTTCTGTCACTCTGAGCGCAGTGGGTCAGCCAGGCCCGCTGCTGCTCACGACCCGAGGTAGAGTTGATGTGATCACAGGTTTTACTAACTTTTGCCCAAGGCGGGTCTCTGCCCCAGTAATCCGAGGTCGAAATGAAGGCGCGCTCTCAGCAGCCTCAGTCCGCCTGTGCACGCCCAGCTGTTCCGGCTGCTGGGAAGCCTCACCTGGTTTGCTGGTCAGCGGGGACTGGGTGGGTGGGTCGGTGAGTGGGGCACCGTGTTAAGCCGTAGGAACTTTTTATAATCATACTTTACAACTTGCTTTTGAGTGAAAACTGTGAGAGAGGAGGCTTCTTCAATTCGACAGGAGTAATGAAAGCCTAACCCGGTGGCCCACACTTGTAATTCCAGCGGCTGGGGAGGTGGAGGCAGGAGGAGCAGGATTTCAAGGCCTGCCTTGGCTATAGTGAGCTTCGGCCAGGGCTAAGATTAGACCCTGTCTGAAACAAACAACAATAACAATAACAACCAGTAAATAAAAAGGAGGAAAAAAGAAAAAAAGGAAATGAAGAAAAAGCATAATATAATGAACTGAAGCAACATGAATGAAAATTCTTTTCTGTATTTTACCTTGGTCTGCCTCTTTCTGCCTTCTTCTCACAACCTGTCTTAATTTGCTCAGTTTATTTATTTAAAATCAATGTGTGTGTGTGTGTGTGTGTGTGTGTGGTATATGCATGTATGCTGTGTATGCGTGTGTGTTGGTGCATGTCCATACATGTTCATGTGGAGGCCAGGAGTGTCTTCCTCTATCACTCTCCACCACAGATTTTTTATGAGAGAGGGTCTCTCACTGAACCTGGTGCCCCCTAATTCTTCTAGATTGACAAACCCCAGGGAGTCTTCTGTTTTTATCCCAGGTCCTCTGCCAGAGCAGCCAGTGCTCCCAAACACTGAGCCTTCTCTCCAGCCCCCATTAGTTTTCTTCTTACACTCAAACGTTTTATAGTTTTGGTGTCTCCATTTTATTCTTTGCGTGTGGTATGAGGTAGGGGCCAACTTCATCCGTTCAGTGTGGAGACCTGTTTTCCCAGCATCATTTGCTGACAAGCCTTTTCCCCCTTTGAATGATGCTGGTATCTCTATTTCTCTCCCAGGCTGCCTTTGAACTCACTGTGCAGCCCAGGCCTCCGTCTTGTAAGTGCTGGGATTACAGATGTGCACCATCACCCTGACCAAGTACACATCTGACAGAGCAACCATTTCTCCTTACCTTCACCATCCCCACCTGTTCCTACCACTTCTCCAACTGGATTGCTGCCAAGGCTTTCTAAAGAGCTTCCTGGAGTGCTCCCACCTAAGTCTGTTCTCAACACAGTGGTCATGTGCATATGTCAGTTATTCTAATCAAAATGCTCTTTATCCCAGGAGAAAAAAAAAGTCCTTTTGTGACGCATGAAACCCTGAGAGGAAGAGCTCCTTTCTTTTGCTCACTCTGTTCCTGGCCTCAGGACCCTTTCACTTGCTGTTCCCTCTGCCTAAAATGCTCTTCCTTCCTTGGGTTCATCTCTTTCTCATTTTTCTTAGGCAGCCTTTTTTTTAAATGTGTGTATGAGTGTATTGCCAGCACATATGTAAGTGCACCCATGTTGTGCAGTACCCGTGTAGGCCAGCAAAGGACATCAGATCCCTTGGAACTGAAGTTATGGATAGGCGGTGTTGGGAATTGAACCTGGGTCCTCTCTAAGACCAGTCAGTGCTCTTAACTGCTGAGCCATCTCTCCAGCCCCCAGACCTTCTTAATGTCATTTTTTTTTTTAAAAAGATACTCTTTCCCAGCACTTAGGAGGCAGAGGCAGGCAGATCTCTGAGTTTAAGGCTAGCCTGATCTACATAGTGAGTTCCAAGCTAGTTGGGGCTAACAGGGAGACCCTGTCTCAAAAAAAAGCAGCTTTCCTTGACACCCCATCTGAAATAGCACCCCTTCATACTGCCTGTCATATTGTCTTGCCTTGTGTTACACTGTAGTGCCATCTTCACACACATACGTGCACTCACCATGAGGGCCAGGATCAGGAATCAATCCCATTAACTGTGGTGGCCATAGCATGCTGACTTAGGAAGTTATTGGTCTCTCAAAAAAACATGTGCTAACCCAGGGCCTAGGATGCAGCTCAGCTGTAGAGAACTTGCTTAGCATGCATGAAGTGTTGGTTTCATCCCCAGCACTGCACAAACCTTGTACTCAGGACACTGGTCCTTCTGATGGAGGACAGCCCAAGCCCTTATACTCCAGGGGCTTTTTGCCTGTCTTTTAACCTCTTAGTAGTTTCCCTGTAGCCCCAGTTTGAAACTTGCTGTGTAGATCAGGTTTACTTCAACTTCACAGAGATCCGCCTGCCTCTGCCGCCCCATGGGAATACAGGCATGTGCCACCATGTCCAGTTTATATAGTATTTTTTAATAGAACTTTCCATTGTTAGACTTTTCTTGGGATGTCTCTTATCTATAAATTTACTACAAAACCAGTTATTTTTACATATGTATGGGGTATATATAGAGATACACTTATTTTCCAAATACATCATAATAGGGTCGATATGTCCTGAAAAATGGAACAGGGCTTGCCTGAGCTTCTGAGAAGAAAAATGTCTTTCCACTGTTTAAAATGTAACTGGCTTTCCAGGGAGTAGATTTTCCTCAGAGATTAGGTTGGACCCTGTTTGTTCCTCTGCCTGGTGGTCAGGAAATTTGAGTTTATGATCTGGCTTCTCTTAAGTTGATTACTTTGAGAGCAGATGCTGGAGGCAGAGATAAGGGCTTGTAATGAACTCTATGTGCTGAGGTGAGGAACTGGACCTCTGCACGTCCAGCTTGCTCCAGTCTCCCTGAGGGAAGGCTCAAAGGGCTCGCACATTTTTCTTCTATAATTGAGGTCCAGCAACACTCTTATTTATTGTCAATTAAAATTAAGTGTCTTACATACGGGGGATGGGAATGTTTGCTCCCTCTGTCACTCCCTCCCTCTCTTTCTTCCTCCTCCCTCCCCCTTCCTCTTCCTTCTTCTTCCTACTCTCTCTCTTTTTAAGACAGGATCTCAGGCTGGAGAGATGGCTTAGCGGTTAAGAACACTGTTCTTGCAGAAGACCTGGGATTGAATCCCAGCAGCCACATGGCATCTAACAGCTGTCTGTAACTCCAGTTCCAGGGGATCCAAGAGCCTCTTCTGTCTTTTGCAGGCATTGTACGACACGGGTGCACGCATACACATGAAATAAAAGTAATAAATAAAATTTTAAAAAAAATTCTTTAAAAAAAAAAAAAAAAGACAGGATCTCCTGTATCCCAGCCTGGCCAGGAATTCCCTATAATTTCCTTGAACTTCTGATTTTCTTGCCTCTACCTCCAGAGTCCTAGGATTACAGGTGTGTGCTACCATGCCTGTATGAAATTCTAATTTGAGGATAGAGGTGGGCTGCCAGATTTATCAAGGCAAAAGATTATTTAATTTTTTATGTTGGACAAACAACAAATTTTCCTGTCATAAATATGTCCCATGAAATGTTTGGATCATGCTTTCTAAAAATTATGTGTTATTTACCCAAAATGCAATTTTTTTGAGACAGGGTTTTTTTTTTTCAATATTTTCTTTTTTTAAAAATTATTTATTTAATAACCATATAATTAGAAGAAACATTTCATTACATCAGCATTGACATATTCAATAACAATTTCTAGAGCTAAGATGCATCTCTTTCAAAATTGGCTGTAAATTTTTAGGTTTACAGTTAAATTGATAGTTAT